TAATGGGAATTGTCTATTACGCCCATGGCGTTGTATAATTTATGTATGATACTTACCACGTGGAATTGTTTACAAATTCTTAGTACGCTGTTTCAAAAACGAATACGATATTCAAACTACTTAAAAACATGTGGCCTACTTGTATTTACAAAAGACTATTGACTTTCAATAATGGGTTATTTATAGGAGGAGACATTTTTGTCAGGTTTTCGAAAGATAATTTTTAATTTTAGGCTTTGAACGTTTTTCATGGCAAAAACGGGACATAGAAAAAAATTATCCCTTTGATAAACTATAGTCTTCAGTTTCAACAACTCAAATTTGTTTGCAAGCATTTTTAATATATTTATACAATTAAAACGAACCAATATATAGACTATATATTTATAATTATATTTATTATATAGGTAAGAAGCTAACTTTATATTTAATTCAAATAAAATATACGTATTGTCAATACATTGTTTTAAAAATTTGTTAGAGAGAATAAGAAACAAAACACGATAATAGAATATAATAGTCATTTCTTATTTACTTTTAAAATACATAAAATTTACAATTTTGATCAAAATTTCTGTGGCAAAATTCATCCCCTGTAAAAAATAAGATACGTCCCTCTCCCTCTCATAACAACAAAGACATTTCGAAGCCAAAGACAAGAATAACAAAACTAGAAATATTTAAAAAAGAAAATTTTAAAAATTCACTCCTTGCGTGGACGCCATTTTGAATTTTACGGCCGTGGAGATAGAGTCCTAGTAACTAGCTGCTCTGGGGATTTAAACACGTGGTTTGTACGTCATCAAAGTTACAAATGCGCAAAAAACACAAATCGTAAAATTTATTTTCATTTTAACATTGTTTTAGATTATTGAAGGCAGTCGGAAAAAAAGTGTGTTACAACTCCCCACGACAAGCGATAAGGTCAGTTAATATGGTTAATATTTGGTTAAGTAATATTTATACTGGATTTTGGTCATCAGGTTCGTCCTAATAAATGTATAAAATTCAAATTCGATATTTCCATGTACAAGATCCATTTGTGTATTTGATCAGCGATGCATCTCACCATAGTTACTATTAACTATGATCTCACCAAGCGGCAAGCGGTTTGTCTACCGAAACTAAGGGGCTGTTCATACGATCCCACTTACCGAGACGTCTTGCCTACCGAGACGAATATTTCCTTGCGTTCATATGGATTATTTCGTCCCGCTTGCCGAGATGAAATTACAATGCAGTTCCGTAATTAGCGTATGCAAAACTTCTACATTTCAGTCAAGCAAAACAAATACTTAGCGATTTTAGTGTTTTTCTTTGTTTATTTACAAACAAAGTATTGTTTTAGGTGCATATTTAATACTAGTTTACAAAACAAACATAAAACCAAGTAAAAAGTGTTAAATTAAACCGGCAAGACTTGTTTGACTTTATCCCGGTAAGCGGGCTGGCGTGTTCATATTTTCATCCCGCCTACCTATGATCTCGGCAAGCGGGCCAGCTCGCTTTCTCATATGAACACAATAGCTCATCGGTAAGCGAGACGTCCCGGTAAGCGGGATCATATGAACAGGCCCTAATTACAAAACTTGTACACAGTCGGCAAGTACTTGTCGGCAGTTAGTTTCAGTATATACGAAAGACGCTAGCTTTTTAAAGCCCATAAGCCGCAGGAAAGCAATATATTTCATTACTAGTTAAATCAACATTAAATAAACAATTGCAAATATAATTACGCCGTTTGCGATTGGGGGATTAACTTCGGTTTGTTTTTCTTCATAGCGCAGTAGTTAAGAAACATAAGCTCACAATGTGTAAACTTTCTAAAAAATTTAATGTCACTATGTAGGATTAGAGAATTTGATTAATTGAACTAACTCGTGCGAAATGAAGGCGATTTACCGGGCAAGTCGGCACATGACTCGAATCTCGCCTCATTGAGATCTGCATGGTCTTTATTAACGCATGTAAAATTCAACTTCTGTTCATATCAGAAACAAGCCAGCCCAGCTAAGCGAGATCTCGTTTCGCGCTAGGTGCATCGCAGTCAAGTGAAATAAGAAGGCCTTATCCCATCTGACCAGGGTGGACATTTTTTGCTGATTTTGACCTAGAATATGGTACTGAACGGCAGGAAGGAATTGAACCTACGGCCCTGCGATTCCGGTGCATGCAGCGCTCTAACCAACTGAGCTACAGAGGCCAGTTGACGAGCTCTAACCACAAGTTCATGTATATATATACTAAGATGATTCCAATGTATAAGGCGTATGGGTAAATATCTGATGGATGTATAAAATTTAACTAGAAAGCCCAAAATCATGATATATAGCATTTCGAAGCAATATCATATCGGATTAAAAAAGCTGGCATCGTAGCCAAAATCCACCAGTTCGGCTGTAGTAAATGTAGATGCGAGCTAGTTAATTACACGCATCATTAAGCATTTAATTAGGTGCGTTGACATTGGGAGGTTGAATAATTTTACTTCAACGGCGAACTTCAAAGAGGTCTTTAGAAGTCGGCTATATATAAGAAAAAAATCACAGTTTGCAATTCAAATTGATAGAGACTCGAGGTGTTTACGCGGGATTTGAGTACACAAAAAACGCTGTGGTCATTCTCACCTAAGGTGGAGGTTTACTGTATATTTACTCTGTTTGCGCTGTGGTTTGTACCTAAACTGGCTACAAGTCGATGAAGTATATGGTTTAGTGAGATTTTGGTATGTATATGTTTAAATCTAGAATAATATATGCTTATATATTGCAGTGATGCTTGGCTTTATGCCGGCATAGCAGAGATAAATTTATATTTACCGTCAAAATTCAACGATTTTGCCTTCGAGTTTGGATATCTAGCACATATATATAACATATACGAACATAGAACCGAGCGAATTTGCCTACGGATGGCGGAAAAAACCGGCACGGCCAGGTTCTAGAATATGCCGGGCACAATTTCACGCACGGTAAATATTTCAGAACCCATCGTGTGCAACAATGCTATATATCATTTTAAAGCTTATAAGATGCTCAAACGGGACCGTCATGATTAAATTTTAGATGTAGGTGTACATAATTTGAAAATTGTTTTGAAAAAAAATGGCTGGCGAGGCGTCATTAAATTCTATCTGCTCTGAACCTATCAATCGTTGGGATGTAATCTTTGCTTTTGTGCAGTGATGTGCAAAATTAGGAAATCAGGAGGGAAAGTGAGATAGTCTGAAGCCTGGTTTAAGTTTCTGTGATCACAGTAGGAATTTTGCATAGGTAAATTCGAAATGTTTAACACTGAGTCGATTCCTTCAAACGTTTCTGACAAATCCTTCTAAACTTAGAATTTACCAATGCAAAATTCCTATACTGTGATCACAGAAACTTTGATAGTGTATAAAGCCAACATAATTCAACGCATGCAAAACGGTAAAATCATATTATAAGCTTGAATTCTTCCCTGCCAAAGACGTAAATTATTTTGGCCAGTGATACGGTGTCACGGCCAAGAAACCCTTGATAATTGACAGAATGCGACATTTAACGTGTCTGCGATATCTCAAAAATCAATCTCCCTGCCAAGGTCAAAATGTGACCAGTCACTATGTGAAGGACTTGAAAAATTTGAGCGGTCATATTAAAAACCTGACCGGTCATTAATTGTCCGGTGATCACCCGCTATTTTGAGCTCTGCCCATTGAACGCCATGTATGTATACATATAAAACACGCAAGGAGCTCGAACATCAAACAATTAATCATTTTGGGGAATTTCAAGAAAAGTTTGATAATCCAATTTGTGTTCATACCATAGGGCTTCACATTAGGTTTTATATGGCAAGTTCTATTTTTCAATAGGTGTGCGGCAATTTTGTATGAAAAATGCCTCTAAGCTGCACAGACGAGTAAATAAACTTTTCATTGAAAACTCGCTCGTTTGTACGTTCATTCCAAGCGCAATACATGATTGATATATTTGGATTTGTTTGAAATATCAGCAAGCTCTTTTTTATATATATAATATTTCAGATAGGATTATACTTGGTTTTCAATCTATATTCGGTAACACAATGGCAAAAAGTAGGCCCTTCACAGCCAGACGTTAATTGTACACTTATGTTGTGATTATTTCTGTGATATTGGCTCATTCTAAAGTGTTATTCGGATAAACAGGAAACTATACCCAATCCCAAAATCTATATTTTATCATGGCGAAGAATTAAATCGTCAGAGCAAGGCATTATTTGCATGTATTTCAGTGGGGTTTTTTTCGCAGAAAAGAATCCGCGTGGGGGTATATTTTCCTCGCCGCGTATATAACGTTATCCGCTGGCTGTATCCGTTATCCGCGTTTTATGTAATCGTACGTTTAGCATACACCTAACAGTGAAATAAAGAAGTTACTAGAAGCTAGAATAAAAACAAACTGATTTGTTAACCTTCTTGACCAAGCACAACAAATTCAAGTGGCGTAAAAAGTTCTCTGTGAATGTTAAAAATAGAACTCGAACCGTCCTGACCGCGTAGCTCAGGCCCTGTTTACACTATACCGGATTCGCTGGTCACGACATCTTCTTTTGCCGTTACGGAGCAATGGTTAGTAGCAAATGCTTATTAGTTTAACAGAATTGGCATGTTTATTTGGGTTTCTGAGATTAAAAATCTTCACAGTCTTTCAATACCTACAAAATTTGACCCACTCCGATAGCAATCCGGTATAGTGTAAACGGGGCCTCAGTTGGCAGAGCATTGGGCTAGTATTCCAAAGGTCGTAGGTTCGATTCCCACCGTGGCCAGGCATATTTTTCAAGCCTGCCCGGTGTGGATATACACTCAGAGTAACATCACAAGCATAATATAATTGATGTTTTTCAAGTGAAGTCCAGAGCAGACAAGTAGAAAACTACTTGATCATGGGGAATTGTAATAAGATATATTGCGCGATGTTCTCCAAGTAAAGTCCATATCAGACAAGTAGAAAACTAGCTCCTTGATCATGGTTGGATTTGTACTCAGGTAGATATTGGGTGACGTTCTCCAAGTGATATCCACATCAGACAAGCAGAAAATTTCAGTTTGGTCTTGTTATCAAACATCCCCCCCCCCCCTGACTAGTTTCAAACATATCAGGAAATATCATTGACTTGGTTAATCGCAAAGGGGGAAACAGGGGGAAAGAATTAATTGTTTAGAAGAGAAAGCGCGCAATAACAAGAGGAAACGGCTCTTTAAAAATTACCATATATAAATAGTGTCCCCACATAGACACGTCTTTCACACATTTAAAACCACTTCAATGCGTTTCTCCATGGTTCAAAGATGGATTTATTTTGATGTTATCTCGATCGTAAGTTGTTCATTTGCTTTACCTTTCTGCGTTTTAAGTCGTCGTAAACGACGGCAAATTCATTTATAAGCAAATTAAGCTAGGTATATCGTATCTGAATGCCATTTATTTGCCTCCAAAACATATCATGGAAGAATTCAAATTATTTTCTCGCTCTGATATAACTGCATAAAACACTCGTAAAGATCTCACAGCCTGTCAACAAGACGTGTTCGCAATGCTTGTTCCCAGTTGTTGACAAGTCTGGAACAAGTTGTTATCATCTTGTAACAAGGTTGACGAGGCCAACACACTCGCAACAAGTTGTTCCAACAAGTCTGATATCGTCTGCACGTAACAAGTTGTTAACAAGTTGATGACAACAAGCTCGTGGCAACTTGTTACGAACAGCCTGCATTAGTCTTGTTGGAACAACTTGTAGCAAGTCTGTTACCGTCATCAACCTTGTAACAAGATGATAACAACTTGTTCCAGACTTGTCACAACAACTGGGAACAAGCAGTGCGAACACATCCTGATATCGGCTTCACAACAATCTGTAATAACTTGTGCGTTTTTACGTGTGTAAAATTTTTATTTTTCGATTCGTTTCTCAATCGGCAAACAAACTTAAAAAGTATGTTTAGTGCTTTATCTGTAAAATAATGCTAAAATGAAGAGATTTTAGATGTACGCCAAAGAGAGAATGATGTCTGAAGTTCAGTAAGTTTTGCTTATATGGCTGTAAATATGGCGTCAATTTTAAAGCATCATTTATAATTGTAGTTCAATTGACAATTTTTTCCCTATTATTTTACGTTTTTCAATGGGCAAATGCATTAAAAAGGTAGCTAACTGTATAAACTAGAGAATAAAGCTAAAACAAAACAATTTTGAGAGGTATACACCAAAACAATTTTTGGTTTTGAACACTTCATCGCACGTAGAGAAAGAATTGCCTCTTGGTTTTCTCGGAAGAGAACACTTGTTCTCCGGAAAACGCAGGAATATATTGGACAAAGATTCTTAATATGATTGTGATTGGCAGTATTCATTTTGAGAGGAAAATTTTTTTTTAGTCTCGCATTCAGAGGAAAATTCCGAGTCTCTGAAGAGGGATTATAGCCCGGGACTGCAGAGATATTCTGGAGGATTCTATAAACTTGCAATTCTGATTGATGCTGTATTCGTTCTGAAGAACGTCAAAAAAGTCTGAGCAATTTAATTGTCTCGAATTTTTTAATCAGAATAATTGTCTGGGCAATTGGACTAGAAAACCTACAAAATTGTCAAAAATGTAAAGTATTTCAATTTTATTAAGAATGATGCTTGTGATGTTACTCTGAGTGTATATCCACACCGGGCAAGCTTGAAAAATATGCCTGACCACGGTGGGAATCGAACCTACGACCTTTGGAATACTAGCCCAATGCTCTGCCAACTGAGCTACGCGGTCTGGTCGGTTCGAGTATTATTTAGTTATTTAGATAACATTGATATCGAAGGAACTAGATTCTGTTCCGAAATATCACATACTCGAACCGACCAGACCGCGTAGTTCAGTTGGTAGAGCATTGGGCTAGTATTCCAAAGGTCGCAGGTTCAATTCCCACCGTGGTCAGGCATATTTTTCAAGCTTGCCCGGCGTGGATATACAATCAGAGTAACATCACAAGCATCATATTCACCTGAGTATATACACAAACACCGAAAAATTCATGTATTAAGAATATTTCGTTACTACTCGCGTCCAAAATCACTGTCTGTCAGAGTTGAAACGTCGGGTTAAGTGCGTCATTGGAGTGTAATTCTCATTATTTCCGTCGTCTCCAGTGCTTCGTAGCGAACGACGGAAGTGTATCAAGATGAGATTAAACAAATCTTTCCTATTTATCAGTCTCGAAGTACAAGATTACTTCATATAATGAAAAGAATGAACATTATTCTCTCACTCTGATAACTGCAGGTCGAACACCATCTAGTGCACGATAGTACTTTGTAAACCAGCTGTATAAAATGTTTCGATGCGAATCGACGCCAGTTAAACGAGGATTTGAGTTCATGTGAGAGATGTCACGCATTGTTGCAGGGGGCATTTCAAGCTCTAGACTAACGAAAAGGTTTGATGTGTGTTCCAAGTAGGAATGTTCGGTATGAGAAATTTCCGATATCGGTATACCGAAAAAATTATACCGATATTATCGGTATACCGGTTTACCTTTGATAATTATAAAGGAAAATTCTTTAATGGGAATTCGATGGAAATTTTGAGTAACTCTAAAAGGGAAAACGATAATTATGAAGCTGTTTCGAAATCTAAATCATTTCAGTAGAAAGTTCTTTGAATTGCCATTCAGTAGTAAAATAAAGGTTATGGTTTTGCCATATAGTTGGTAAATGTAATACGGTATACCGAAAAATTCCGGTATATCGGAAATTTCTGTATATCGGTATGGCTGAATATCCGGTATCGATATACCGATATTGATTTAATACCGATATTTTCGGTATATCGGTATACTAAGCTAAATTACGAAGGATGCAGCTCAACCTGATCCAGTCGAAGGCTTTCTAAGGGCGCTTTTCGAAGGCTTTCATCAACAACGCTTTGATCTGTGAAACAATGTAATTTTTTCTATCTTTCTTTCAGACATGAGCAACCAAGAGAAACAGGGGAAATCAAAAGGCGTACTATTACGTCGCTCTAAACAACAGCCAGATGGCAAGGCTATCCAAGGGCTCGTCTTCGACCACCCTTCGATGCCGAAAATCGTCACCATCTCATCTGCTCCTCGGACGAAATCGTCGAGTGGAAATAACCCCACCGTGCATCGGGCTCGTAGGGAACACAACCCCACCGGGGGGAAATCCCTTACCGGAGAAAACCCCCCTACCGGAGAAAAATCCCCTGCCGGGGGAAAACACCCCACCGCGCATCGTCCTCATGAACAATATGAAACCGGACATTTTACCCGTCAACATGCCGCTAGGCATTCTGCAGCACAACCAGCGACCACCGTACATTACACCCCGGCTCAATACCCCACCGTATATCGAACCTCGGCACAAAACCTCTCCAGTTCATCGCCCCCAGCCTTGATCCGTACGCCAAGTCAATATTCGACCCAAACTCCCGCCAGTGTTAGGCAGTTTCACGCAGCTAACGCCGAACGCGTTTTAGACGGTTCACGAGCCGAAATCGCAACACAAAGTGGAAAATCACAAATTCGCTTTCCGTCCTATTACCGAAGTGGTCCTTTGCCTTCCACGCTATCTGCGGCACAGAACACGCAATTTCAATACGCTCAGCACGAACCGAATTCACCACGCACGCAAGAAACAACGTTAAGGCGAAACTCGACCGGGGCACTTCGACACCATTTGCAAAAGAGAGCGCAACTGCGCGAAAACATCGTACAACATTCGCACAACATTCCAAACATCGTACAACATTCGCACAATAATCCAAACATCGCACAACATTCGCACAACAATCCGCAAGACTCGATAGAGTTGGGTACAGATGAGTTTTCTCGTGATTTTCATCTGCACGTTTGGCGTGAAAGTCACGAACGGGCCATAAACGAGTGGAATCCACCCATGCCACCCATACGCAGGCTAGATCAGCCTACACGCGGGCTAGATCCACCTGTACGCAGGTTAGATCATCCTGTGCATTTGCCACTGACCTCTGGTCATAATGTGGATGGAACTATGCCCCGTTATCGGTCTTTGTCGACCAGTGCTGGCTTCCCAGGGGAAAGGGGGGACCACTTGTCCCATCAGCGACCTAACCCGCAACCTAGGGCTTCCCCTGTCCCTTCAAACCTCCCCCCTGGACAATATGGAAATACACGATCTCCTAGAGAAATGCGGAGATATAGTACCGGACACGTGGAGTTAGCATATTCCGAGGTTTGCACTACCGAACCCCAAAACTCCCCCGAAGAATGGACTTACGAAGATCATAGCCCTAGGGTACGAAGTGCCGAGGGTACGAATGCCCGAGTACCAAGTGCCGGGAGTATAAGAAGATCGAGCAACATCACGGATGAGTATATCCCGGTAGTACCAAATGCCGAGGGTCGTAATTCGCATATAGTAAATTCCGGTCACCTAAGAAGTTCATCCAGTAATAGTATCGAGGACTATAACCCGGTAGTACGAAATGCCGAGGGTCGAAATTCGCAGATAGTAAATTCCGGTCACCTGAGAAGCTCATCCAGTAATAGTATCGAGGACTATAACCTGGTAGTACGAAATGCCGAGGGTCGAAATTCGCAGATAGTAAATTCCGGTCACCTGAGAAGCTCATCCAGTAATAGCATTGAGGACTATAACCCGGTAGTACGAAATGCCGAGGGGAGAAATCTCGAAGTACTAAATGCCGGTAACATAAGAACGCCCAGTAATACTAGCGAGGATTATAATCCGGTAGTACGAAATGCCGAGGGGAGAAATCTCGAAGTATCAAGTGCGGATAACATAAGAAAATCAAGTGTTTCCAATGAAAGTGAAGCTCAGGCAAACGTTCAACGACGTCGTCGAAGACGAACCAGACAACAAAATCCACCGACAGTTGTGGTCATTTCCGATTCGGACGATGAAGAAATGAGAATTCTTACTCCTCTTTCGAATGACGAATTTGACCAAGATGTCTTCACGGTTGAACCCAATAACCAAGCAGGCCAACCCTACCCTGTTGTACGAGAGAGCTTGGGTTCACCGCATAGCAGCGAAAGCGAGGAGGCTTGTATTATCACGAAAGTAAAAGCACCGGGCAAGAAGAGTAGCCGTGAGTTACAAAAATTGAACGGGTCGAGTGAGACTGGACAGGAGTCACGTGCGTACGACGTCAACAATAATGAAAGTAGAGAGGGGGTGGGAACAAGTGGCGAACAGTGTCGAGAGGGCATGGGAATGAGTTCTGAGCAAAGTCGAGAGGGAGTGGAGGCAAGTTACAGGTCTGTGTTATACGAGCGGGAAATCACAGGACAGACAGGTACACAGAGGGTCATTATGAGTGAACAGTTGTTTGTCAATAATAGGGGAACTAAACGACCTTTGGAGGATAAAAGACAGTATTTTGTAGCCGGGTCTGCAGAAATTGCTGGATCTTCCTTGGATTGCGCCGCCAGGAAAATTCGTCGCGTTTCATGTAATGAACTAGACAGTAGAAATGCTCACACAAGATCGAGTACTGATTTAACAGTGGATTTTAAGACTTGTCGCCAATCTTCACAAAATAAGCACGGTCCAGGACTCAAGCTCACGAGAAGCCACGACGATATGCCGACGTTGGTACGATCTCGTTCGGAAAATGACGAGCAGATTAGCAAGCCAAAATGGAAAAGCGAACGTTCTACTAGTCTAACATATGACATTAGCACGTTTTCAAAGCAAGAAGAAAATACAGAGAATTGTATTATCAAGCCAGGAGTTGAACTGATAGAAAGTCGCAAACTTTCAGCAAAAACTGCAAGCGAGATGAAACCGCATTGCAACGTATGTTTCGACAGACGTGTTATCCGTGTGTCTGAGCTGCTACCAGAGGCGAGTGGTTTAGTGTCACGTGACGAAATTCAATGTCGCAATTGTGACCGCGTTCTGAACGAGTGTGATAGTCCTGGGAACGACATTGCTCATACTGTTGTGAATTTCCCCAAATCCGGTCCAAAACCGACTGGAATTGTGGTTGGCATAAAACAGGCTCCGGAAGTAGAACCGCTGGAATCTAAGACTGCGGCCTTAGAAAAAGAATTGAAGCAACTGCTAGAATGTAAGAAACCCGCAAAGAATTCTGGTATAACCTACGTCATACACGAAGATGATGACGTCATGTATAAAGATAAGACATTGAGTAAGGTCAGCGATGATTTAGATGTACTTCATTTCAGTGTGGTTAAAAGGGATTCTGATGTCACGTGGACAAATTCGAAAGATCACGTGAAGAACACAACAAGTTCACGTGATCAAGTGCATTCGTCGCAACAGTGGGAAGCGTATTCGCTAAAACTCGAGCAAGAACAAATGGCTAAACACAGTTGTGGTAGAAAAGAAAGCAACGTTTTTAATATCAAACGAAATTCCTGGGAAGAATTAAAGGAAAAGTTCGCGAGTGTGGGAAAACGCGATCGCGTGTCGTGCTCTGACGCGACTCGAAAGCGTGCACATTCCGGTGAAAACGTGTTGGATACTTTGTGCCGCAAATCGTACAGATTTCACGATGCGACCAAGAAACTACATGATGAATATAAACAACGGAAATTGTCTGAAGAAAGCGTAACGGTTAATTCTTCTGACAAAGTGAGTGAGCTTTTGGACAGCCGCGATACTTGTGAAAATGATGGAACACAAAACACAGACATTCAAAATGAAGCCATAACTCCTAGTTCTTATTCTTGCACCAACGTTGCCAAGATCCAGGAGTTTAGTCCCGCGGAAGACAAACTCTACGAGATTCGACTCTCGGAAGAAAAACCCTTCGAAGTAAATACCCGGGAAAAACACCCCTACGACATTCGACCCTCGGACATAAACCCCTCCTTAATTGAACCCACATCACCGGGTAAAGAACCCCAAGCTGCAAGAAGCCCTCAAAAAGAAGAGCTTTCTTTGCAAGAATGGACAGAAATATTACAAGGGAGAATTTCTCAAGTCAGGGAAAGCATCGAGGAAGAAAGAACTCCGTGGAAAACGAAAAATAAGAAAAAAGTTCTGGAAAAACTCGAGAATCATTTCACGTGGATAACGGGACCGGATGTGGACGAAGCCATTTTCGTTTCGCGAAAGTTGCAGTTTTTTCAAACCATGAGGAAACAATATGAGCTGATGAATAAGATTAAAGCTCAAAGACACACTATGAAATTCTCGGACGGCCCAGCACCGGTTCTGGAAAATGTGGAGAAACCCAAGGCAAAATCTGCCAAAGAAGTGGTGGTTTGCAAAAAGACGAAGGATGTCAAGAAAACTGCCAAATGTAAGCCTAAAAGGTAAGCATGCTGACTCGTCACGTGATTTGATACGACGAAAAGAACCACTATTTTTTATGTCAGGCTGAAGTGGTTCTTATACAGGGTGTATAAAAAAAAAACGAGACCTTTAGAAAGCTATTGTTGGGAAGCACAAGATTTTAACGCGTTAAATTAATCAGCACATAATTCACATGTCGGACGAAACCAAATTAAAGTTGTTAAATAAATTCGCCATGCATAAAATTCACTTCTATTCTGGATTCAGCATAGTACTGTGCATTCGAATCTCAATAATAGCTTGATTTCTAGAGGTCTGGGTTTTTTTATATATAACACTTGAATTCACATGCAATATTGACTGCGCTATTGATTTGAGAATGTTGAACCACTGTTTTTGAAAATGCCAAAAATTAGCATAAAACAAGCTTATAATTACCGATGTAGTTATACTTGTTAAGTAATAAATATTTTTATTTTGCCGGTATCTCGCTCAATATTGCATGGGAATTCAAGTGTTATATATCAAAATCTAAGTTAGTCCTTTCTGAATCCAATGATCTTTATTTCATTGCGATAGCTTTTATACCTTTTACGTTACATGAAATCAACCAGTGTCCAGTTTTTTGGGGGACACCAGGTAGGTACTTAGGTAGGTAGGTGGTGATAAATGAACTCAGATTTTCCGCTTTTCCCTCTAGTGTGAAAAACAGCCAAGGTGGTATGATGAAAAAGATAAGAAAAGCAGTCCTTTCCTAAATTATAACCGAGTCAAGGACGCGCATCTTTTTTAAAAGGACGAGAATAATTCGCAAAATTAATATTGATTGTTATGTTGAGATTTTGTTGTGTTTGCAGAAGTTATTTAATAATACAATGAGGAAATTGTAAATATTTAAAAGACTATTTAAATGTTTGAGAATTTTTTGTACATAAAAGCCGTGAAATTTTGGTAGTTTTTATAAATCATCGATCACCGAATAATTTGTAACAATAGAAACACTTGGCTAATGTCTGTTTTTACACAATTCAGAATAGAACAAAGGTAGCTGGGCTTCAGATTTATCCACATTTGTGAATAACTCTTATACATAATTTTAAAGCTTAGTTAACTTTGTTCTATATTCTATGCTTATGTCAACTAGAACACTTGTAGTTAACTAGGCATGCGAGTTGTGAATTTGCCGTACGTAATTGTGAATTTGAACTCAAGTTGTGAATTTGCCGTAGTTATGAAAGCATAGAATGGAATAAAGATGTCAAAGCGTTAGAATTACCAATACGAGTGAATAAAATTTCAGCCACTTAAAGTCATTTCCAGTTTAATTTTGTAATCGTTGCTGTTGTTACCTGGTTATTCAGGGCTCGTACGAAAATTCTTGAATGTCCTTGAATTTGGAAACAAAAATTCAAGGTCTTGAAAGTGCTTCAGTTTATAAAGAAGTGCTTGTAAGTCCTTAAATTGTTCTTGCTTTAGTGGATATTTCCTGAGATTGTTTGGCATTAAGAATTGGAGATTTTGTAAATTGATTTTGTTCATGTCTTTCAAAGGCCAAAGCTATTTAAAATTCATTAATGTTGCGGTTTGCACAGTTTAATTAACGTCACTTTTTAGCGAACGCCTTCGTTCCAGCGTTTAGTCTTTGAATTTCCTTTTCTCATCTTACAATCGATGTTTACGCATACGATGACGCGCGCGCACACCCAAAAGGAAACCGTACCCTAATTAGCATTATCAGCGCAACCGCAAATATTCTCAAACGAACGTCTGAATCAATATAGATTATTTATTTCGACTAATCTGGACGAACGTTATCTGTCGTGTGGGCCGCCCATGAGATGAAACCTTGACGAGTTTCTTTTTGCTGATAGCATAACAACGACTTTCCCAGCGCCATTACATTAAAGTTGATAATTTTGCGACAATATTCTGATATCTTCTCTACAGCTCTCCAAATCTGGCTGTTCAATACCAGCTTCCAAAAACCCTGGATACTTCATGACGTTTGCTTTATTTGTTCCCCCAAGTAACACCTCCAACGGTTTGGCAAGGTCTGCACAATTTATCAAACTTGCCATAACTGATGTTTTTTCCACTCTCGTCTCGATAGGTCGTTCGTAATTTTCGATAACACATCCTACTTGAGTCACAGAGGGTTTGAAAATCTCTGGAAACGGTCGAGTAACCTTACAAGGTGTCTGAGCTATATACGTCGGGCAGATATTGCCTAAACTGGAGTTATATTGAAAGAGCGTGGATATCTGTTTTTCCATATATTGGTAGCTTTCTGTTTTAAGCAAATGCGTTGGTATACCACGCACAACAGAGGTTTGAGTTAGGATATTTTCAGGTCGGCCAGTGTCTGGTGTTAGGGGTATGATATAATCCATAGCTCCCTTTAGTAAGTCATTCAGTGATAGCGTACTGTTCACAGGAATGGGTAGCCCAAGTGATACAGCTGAGATTTTGCGACCGCCATATGAAAGGTTGTTAACAAGCGTATTGAGATCGCTTGATTGGTTATCTTTGAGCCTGTATGGTAGGGTTGCGGTGTCGATTGCTGACGCAACAATTGCGCTGGTGTGGTAGTTTGAATTTCCCTGAAAGATATTGGAAAATTTGAACTCTTTAAAGCGTAATTCAACCTTA